ATGAAAAAGACAAGAAGGCTTTCTCCTTTTCTGCAGATTTATTCATAATAATGGGCCAGTTGCAGCAGTTACAGTGTTCTTAAGTAGGTATGTGAGGGTTATATATGTTATGACATACTAATTACCTCAGCTGATGTTCCCTGAACAATCATAAAGGAATATAAGTGTTCCAGGAGTACATGTACAGTGGCCACTTACTTCTGAAAAGAATAACACTCATTAAGTATGAGACATATTTAGTTACATGTGCATATAAAAACAGCCTATTAGGGAGACAGAGTCTATTGTTTTGAGCTGAACTCCTGGGCAATATACCTTAAAAGTTGCCATTCATCCCACAACAATAAAGCTGAAAATAATGTAATAAACAACCAAAGTGTAAAGTGAAAGACGGGAACCAAACACCACCACCAGTAACATTTGCACTAGCAATGCCTGACTGCACCCTACTTTCACCTTCACTAAAACAAGCAGAAGTATCACTCTAACACAACTATCATCTACACCACCAGAACTACCTGAATCACGACTACAAACAACATCAACTTGCTACAACAGGGTATAACTTTACTATCTCTGCCACCAACCCGGCTTCAAGTAATTTTAATTGCACTGCGGGACATATGACTTTAATTCTCTATTTAGGTCGAACAGATTGTATAGAGATACAGATAATCTGGTAGCTCTATCCATACACATGCCTGGATTAATAAATGCGTTTAACAGCACAATTTATGGGGAAATTTCCACAGCAAATTGTGATGTAAACTTTTCTGCAAGCCTGGACGTCGAAGCTATTAAAGCAAAATAAAACGCAGATCCACATAATTTACGATTTCTTAAGTATGTCACAGGAAACATGGTCTTGATACACAATCTTAGTGACAAAAATCTTACTCTTTTAGGTGCTTAGTCACAAAGTCCAATCATAAATAATAATGTAAAATAAGTAGGACAGAATATTTTTTCAAATCTAGTTAGACAATGTCCCATAACCAAGTGCTTTCTTCCAGTACCTCATGATAAACAATTACCATCAGCAACACAAAGACCAAGATGTACCTTAAAACATCAACTAAAATCAGACACACCAACAGCAGGGTATACCTACACCATCTATACAATCACTAACATGAGTGACACCAACACTAGAGTGTACCTACACCATCTATAAACCACTAACATCAGCAACACCAACAGCAGGGTATACCTATGCCATCTATAAAACCACTGACATCAGCAAATACCAAAACCAGCATGCACATACATACACACACTTTATTTCAACTCAGTTATCATAGTACATGTAGCTCTATTGAGCTAATATCTTCGAGAAAGAAAAAAACTGCATAAATCAATTACATTATTAAAATACAATAATTGAAACTACTACCTAATAACCATCTATACAACCACTGATATCTGCAATACCAAAACCAGGGTGTACCTCACCTATCTATATAACTACTAAAAGCAGCGACATCAACATGAGGCTGTACCTACACAATCTATTTAATATTTCACATGAGCAGCACCAAGACTGGGGTGTACTTTCACCATCAATATAACCACTAACATAGGCCACACCAACACAAGGGTGCACATGTACCTACAACCATCTATACAACCACTGATATCAGCCACACGAACACCAGACTGTACCTTAACCATATATAGAAGCACTGATATCAGCCACACCAATACCAGGTGGTATCGTCACCATCTATACAACAACTAACATAAGCATCAAAACATGCATGAGCACTACTTCCAACAAAACAAACAGCATCATGACCAGCACTTCCAGACCTGGTGACAGTGAAAAAAACACTATAATGACCATGTTCATAACTAGGAGCTTAAGCCTGGAGCATCATTAGATCATGTTTAAACCTGAACCACCATCCTGACCATCACCTGCACTATCCCAAGACACTACACCTCACTACCTACATGACGACTTCCATCGGTACCACCTATACTTCCATTATCAAATAGAATACCTCCATCATATACAGCACCACTACCCATGGTACCACCATCTCTACAATCACTGGCAGATGCACCACAAATACTACAAGTACATGCACCACCACTACCACCAGCTCTTTACCTGCAGCACCATTACCTTATGCTTCCCACCTGGATTATAACCATCACCACCAACAGCAACACCAAAGGGAACACCAGCAGCACAAGCAACATGACCAACACCAAAAGTACTGCCACTGAAACCATATTATTACAACACCACTACTGGTACCTGCACTACCAATAACATCATAAACAACTGCCACAGCAAAGGAACTTGCTCCACCATTATCACATCATTAACCACTAACACCAGTAGCAGTAGCACCAGGCACCACCAGTAACCATTAGTTAACACAATCACCATGAAGACTATCGCCATTACTACCATCTTCCTCCACAAGAAGATGAGCAAATGGAAATACAATCAGTGGGAGAGATTTTGCTTGTTTTTTAATCACTGCTTACCTTATCAGTTAGGCAGATTTTGCCCTCAAAGTTGTTGTTATCAGTGAAATAAAGGAATGGTTGTAAATGACTCCTGAAATAAACAACAAATGACTTACGTGTGACATAAATGTAAGGCTACATATACACAAACAACACTAGGGTGTACCTACATTATCAACACTAGGGTGTACCTACATTATCAACACTAGGGTGTACCTACATTAACAACACTAGGGTGTACCTACATTAACAACACTAGGGTGTACCTACGTTAACAACACTAGGGTGTACCTACATGGTGTATACAACATTACACCAACACTAGGGTGTACCTACACATTCTCTACAACCACTGACGTCAGTGACACCAACACCAGGGTGTACCTGCAACATCTATCCAATCATTGACATCAGCGACACTAATACCAGGGTTAAATTTTTGAATCTGTACAATCAGTAACATCAGTAGGCCTAGACAGATTCTGCTCTAAAAATGTTAAAATGTTACTCAAAAATATCCCCAAAAGTTGCTCAAAAGTTGCTAAAAATAGCAAAAGTTGCTTTAAAAAAATTTATAGCTGCTTGCTGAAATCAAAGAGCAGCAAGTGGCGGCTCTGTTTCTGTACAACAACAAAGCGACTACTTAATGCTTTTGGGAGATGGAAGCTCTTTCAGGCTTCGAAAGCTCAGCAATATTTTCAATTGCAGCCTGGATTGAATCTTTATGATGTTGTTCTTCATCGGATTCTTCATTGTCGATTAGAAGAAAGCGCCTTGCCATCTGCCACTTTGAGCTAGTTGTACCATATTTGGAATATTTACACAGGATACCCATTCTGGAAATGGACTCACATCCGGCATGTCCATATTTGGAATTTATCAACAAGAGGTACCGATCAAAACGCAAGAGAGCTTTTAGTGAAATTCTTGTGAATTTCCAAAGAAAACATGTGAAAATATCAGTTACTTATGCATATGATTTCGAAATAGTGAAAATATGCCAGAAATATGCTAGCTTTTAGAAAAGATGCTGTAAAGTTGCTCACTCTCCGAAAAGTTGCTCAAAATCATAAATGTTGCTTAAAAGTTGCCGAGTAGAATCTGTCTAGGCCTAAACATCAGCCACATCAACACCAGAGTGTACCTTACCAATTTATACAACTACTGACATCAGCGACACCAACACTGGGGTGTACCTTAACCATTTATACAACCACTGACAAAACTGACACCAACACCAAGGTTAAGCTAAACAATCTATACAGTCACTAATATCAGCAACAACCACACCAGGGTGTACCTTCAAAATCTTAAAAAGCACTGACACCTGCGACACGAAAATCAGGGTGTACCTACACCATCTAAACCACTACTAACACCAGGGTGGCGGTACACCATCTATACAGCCACTGACATTAGTGACACCAACACCAGGGTGTACCTTAATCATGTATACAGCCACTGACATTAGTGACACCAACACCAGGGTGTACCTTAATCATGTATACAGCCACTGACATTAGTGACACCAACACCATGGTGCTCCTTAACCATGTATACAACCACTGACATTAGCGACACCAAGACTAGGGCGAACGTTCACAATCTATACAATCACTAACATCAGCCACACCAACATCAGAGTGTAACTTCCCATCTATACCACAACTAACATCAGTATCACCAACACCAGAGTGTACCTTTCTCATCTTTACAATCACTGACATCATCACAGCAACACCAACACCAGGTTGTACCTTCACTATCTATAGTACCACTGACATCAGCATCACCAACACCTGGGTATTCCTTCACCATCTATACCACATTTAACATAAGCATCGACAACACCATGAAATATACCTGCACCTTCTGTACAGCCACTGACATTAGTGACAGCAACACCAGGGTGTATTTACGCAATCTTTACCACCACTAACATCAGAACACCAAAGTATACCTACAACATCTATACAATCACTGGCATCTGTGACAACAAAACCAGGGTGTACCTCAACCATCTATACAACTACTGACAACAACCACACCAACACCAGGGTTTACTTACAACCATCTGTAAAACCACTGTCATCAGCGACACCAACACCAGGGTATACATTACCCATCAATACAACCATTAACATAAGCATCACAAAATGCTTGAGCACTACTTCCAACAAAACAAACAGCATCAGCACCAGCACTTGCAGACCTGCTGACGACAGCAACACTATAATGACCATGATCATCACCAGGAGCTAGAGTGAAGCATCATCAGACAATGATTACACCTCAACCACCATCCTGACCATCACTTGCACTATCACAAGCATCTACACCTGACAACCTACATGGCCACTTCCATGAGCAGCACTGCTACTTCTGCCATCAACTAAAATACCTCTACCATATGCAGCACCACTACCAATAGTACCACCATCTGCAAAATGACTATTATTGGCATCATCAGACATGATTACACCTCAACCACCATCCTGACCATCACTTGCACTATCAAAAGCAACTACACCTGACGACCTACATGGCCACTTCCATGAGCAGCACTGCTACTTCTGCCATCAACTAGAGTACCTCTACCATATGCAGCACCACTACCAATAGTACCACCATCTGCAAAATGACATGAACCACCACTACCTCTAGCTGTACTTGCAACACTACTACCAATAGTACCACCATAAGCATATATAGGCACCAGAAATACTACCAGTACGTGCACCATCACTACCACTAGCTCTACCTACACCACAAGACTACCAAGTATACTTCCCACCTGCGCCAAATCCTACATGGCCAATGACAATGTTAGCAGCAGAAGCAACTGACTATGGCTAGCAGCAGTAACACCTTGCCAGCACCGACACTTAAACCGCAATATTACAACAACACCACCTGCACTACCAATACCATCTTAAAGCTAAGCAGCTGGGACAAGAACTTGCTCCTGTCCACCATCACATCCTAAGCACAAACACCAGCAGCAGAAGCACCCACCACCACCTACACCACTTGTAACCATTAGTTGACACAATCACCATCTAGATTATCAAAATCACTGCCATCTTCCTCTACAAAAAGATGAGCAACTGGAAATAATTAAGGAGAGATTTTGTTTGTTTTTCAAACATTGCTTACCTTATCAATTAGGCAAATTTCCCATTGAAAGTTGTTGTCATCAGTATAATAAAGGAATGGTTGAAAATGACTCCTGAAATGAACAACAAATGATTTAAGTGTGATGTAAGGCTGGATATACATAAACAAACTTGAGACAGGATAAGCAAATTCATTACCTGACTATCCTTCATTTGACCATATAAAAGATAGGAAGAAAATGCAAACTACGAGATCGTAACACACAATAGTACCCTGAGGCGATCTCACCTTTCATTAAACAACAGTGACTTATCAGGAACCATAATACCTTTTGATATACTAAGTTGTGAACATATCATAACTTTGATCTGTTCAGTCCATTTTGAGTGTGCATTCTTTTGATTCATAATCCATTCTTGGATTTTAGAAAGCAAACGCAAAATCCCTTTTAGGATTCTAACGTCCGGATTTGTATTTCCTCCCCCAAACCCAAAGGCTCCCTTACAAGCCAAATGAACAGGTCGATGGATCCCGGGGCGAACAGTTTATTAGCATTTCCGCTTTGTTAAGAAATATGGTTTCACTTTCCACCGTTTCTACTTCCGCTTTCAGACTTTCGTCCTTGTCTAGCTCGTGAAAATGCTGTTTTCATGAATGACTGTTAAAACAAAATCAATTCACCAACAATAATTTCGGTAACTAATAAGCTTTCWCTTATTTAAGTTAGCGATGCCAATATGAATCAAAATAAATCTGCTTACGTTTCATAAGTTCTCATTACAAGCGGTCGTCCTGCTTACCTTTTCGCTGAACGGAAAACTTCCCTTCAGTTGAAAATGTATCCCCTCGATCGCAGTCACCAAGAAGATACAGCTGTGATCCTCAAAGGGCGACGAGTTTCTGCATGAAAGTCAAAATGAAATCAATTTTCCAACAATAATTTCGGTAACTAATAAGTTTTCCCTTATTTAAGTTATTGATGCCAATGAATGTGCTGACGTTTCATAATTTCTCAAAACAAGCGCTCGTCTTCCCTACCTTTTTGCTGAACGGAAAACTTCCCAACTTCCTTTCAGTTGAAAACGTTTCCCTTCCCTTTTCCCAGACACCAAAAAGATACAGCTGTGATCCTCAAAAGGCGATGTGTTTCTGCATGAAACAAAGAACATCGTCGTTGGATCGAAATAAAGTGTTTATGCAAGAAGAACGACTGATCCAACATGTCGTCTAGACAAAGCTGTAAAGTCACGCGAAGTTAATAATTTCTGACTATGCTTTTTCTATTACCTGTGTTGTCAGTAACATAAATGCTTCTTGATAACTTTTTCTGCTCTTAAGGAGTTACGAAACTCTAGGAATCCCTTTTTGCATTGCTAGTACAATGACTGCCGCTCTCCGCACTGGGCTGAGGGTGTTTCTGCACAAATTTGTGATTGCGTATTGATCACGAGATCAAAAGCACTCAGCCGGAAACGGAATACAATGAAACAATTGTATTATCACGAGATGAAAACTGCAAATCAACAAAACATTTGTCTAGCGTGATGGGGTGTCATCTACAACAGACGTGATTCATACCAAGTGTACTGAGCAGGACTCGCGTCAAACATCTTAAGAAAAAGGCCTTAGGTACGTGTGAAAAAGGCTCTCAGGCTGTAGCCTGCGTTACAGACGTAAATTTACCCGCTGGTAACCCGCACACTCACGACCTACACAAACCACAGATTGGCAATATGCATGATTAGGAAAAATGATGAGAAGATATACGTGACATTTGAAATAAAACAGACAGTTGTTGATTATGTTGTTTACAGTACCTCCACAACAACTCACACCACCCCTCCCTAGATCCCACCTCCAACAAGGAAAGACAAAATGTGCCCTGTGAAGACAATTTTCTGTGGTTTATTTTATAGGATAATGTTCTTCCAACAAGAGCATGTATAGTTCTCAGAGTTAATTCTGTCATACTAATATGGCCAAATGTCCATACCCTGCTCAAAGAAAATTTTTGTTTGACCACCTCCCCCCAGTCCCCACAATGGTAGTCTCCTCCGCAATTGTTTTTTTGGGACGTCTGCAAGCGTAACATTCCAAAAACGGCTGCCAAGGAGACTACCACCCTGGTGGACATTCCAGTTTAGCTTCCTACTTTAAAAATATTGATGTTTGTTATCCCCCACCCCCCTACCAATTTCAAATGACCTTTCATGGGATGGGAATGGATATTTTCTACAACTGCACATTCTGACCTTTAATTGATCACCCCAGACATTTGTGCGCAGTTCACAAAATGCTGTATCAAATTAAACAAATCATCAAATTCTTATTAGTGATGCAGATTGCCATAACATTTATTTGTGAAAATGTCTTGGACTGTATTGTACATGAAGACAGTATCATCCAGGTGATGACAATCGGTATTCTTGCTACATGATCTACTTGACAATGACAATGATGTAAGCAGGAGAATTAAGACATCGTTCGCTTCTGAAATTCAGCATGGCACAGGATCATTTAAGTCTCCCCAGTAATGAACTTCATTTGTACCCATTTCACAGCTTCTGACTAATGGATCCATTCTTCCATCATACAAACCAAACACTCCTCCTACAAAGGGAAAATATTCATAATACAGTAAATGAACTTGTAGTTAAAAGTTTGAAGCAGACCAACAGAACTACAGTACATCTGGCAGACTTCAATTTTCATTACTGGCCATGCAGTCTTGCAGATAACGGGATCTCAGGTCAAAAACGTATGATGATTCAGTACCGGACAAATGTAAGTCAACACTTGATACTTGATACTTGATACTTCTGAGAATCGAGTGTTGAGTTGAGTCTCAATTTACTTGAGGTGCAGCTTCATTCTTGAGGCTCAATTCTTGTAAAATTCAACACACTGAAACATTCACAGCTGGCCTGTGTTTCATACATTAAAGAAAAACTCTGCAAGAATACACACAATTCAAAACAACACTTCAAAAACATGCAATGAGGAACATACAGCATAGCATGCAATCATTGTTTCTGAGAGACTAAATATGAAATGTAAGGAAGAAAAGATGAATTTTAAAAGCCAAATGCAATGCTGCTGAAACAATACATTGATTCACCTGATTACTTCAGTTCCTTGTAAAATTAACTTAAAGGAGAAGGTCACTCCAAAAAGATTACTTTTTTTGTCTTCGCCTATAGCAAGTAAACATTCAGCTTTTCCACTCACCGAAGTTTCAGCCTCTGAAGTGCTCACTATCTTGAAGAAATTTGTATTGAAAGAGGCGACTTCAGAGACCGCCATTTTGAAACTGTCTTGGCAGCCAAGCTGTGTTTATGTGACGTCATTCCGTCCAACTCGAAATTAGTGGGAAGGAGAATAACCTACAACTGACTTGGCATGGGCAAAATCTATTTTTTTTACAAGCAATTATCCACTTCACTATCTGCAATGTTATCATTTTGGAGTATGGAGCATGGTAATGGCTCAAAAATGATGTGACTAAAGAGCAGCCATAACCCAGAGTGGTAGTTAAAAGGCTTGTCGAAAGCCATATGGACAAAATCTCTCGAATGGAAAGACATCACAAAAACATGGCCTGGCTGCTCAGTACTATTCAAAATGGCAACAACAAATTTCATAAGAAAAACCTGAACTTTAGAGGCTGAAACTTCAGTGAGTGGCTAAACTTAGTGCGAGGTTTTTATTAGCATTGACAAAAAAATATAGGCTTTTTGGAGTTACCTTCTCCTTAAAGGTAGCGTTATTCCACTTATTACTTACCAGTGTGAATGTAGAGTATTCTGTGTCCTTTAAATCTCCCAGGATTGTTTTTCATCTCATGAAGCATCCCTCTAATTGCCTTAATGTTGTACACAGGGTCCACCATTATTCCTGTAGTACTGGAAATCTCTAGAATGCTCTCTGCACATCATAATTGAGTGGATTCAGTAATTATTGGCTGAGAGAATGCAGAATGGTTGAAAGAGTTTCAAGAGTGGCCTTTTGCATGCTGAAACATACAGTAATGTACGTAGGATGGCAACAGAGTGCAACACCTCCAAAACAGTGGCCTCGACCAGTGACAAGCAGGACTGTCCTTTGTTTGGGATGTCTCAGTGAATATCTTACCATCCTGCAGTATAGTGGATTTTCTACCATTTGGCTGTACTTAATTTGTTGTTATTTACGCATGCACACCCACATTCCACAAAGAAATAGTGGTCAAAATTATGCAGGAAAAAAAATAATTTCTAGCTGATAAGTAATAAATTTTGGCCCTAGAGCTTGGGGGGCTATTAGTCTCACAACCACGAAAAGTTAGAATGTAAATAAAGTGTAGCGACGTATAAATGCATACATGTACATTGTGTATATTTTCAAAATGCCACAATATCCAAAATAAAATGAGACATTTACCTAATTATTCCTGAGAGGATATAGTATATCCTTTTCCCTTGTATCCTTCAATAATATCAATTATATCTTCTGCTTGGACGTCTAATTCTCATTACTTTTGTCATAAAAATATGCCGCATTATCACACACATTTACAGCATGACACCTACATGCACAAGAGACAATTAGTTAAGGCTGTCAGGTTTCATACCTATGTTTTAATAAAGAATAAAGTGATTAGTCTTAGGGTACAGTGACTAAGTGTCCTGTTTCTGCAGCTATTGTGTAGTGAACTGTTTCTGACACACATGCACACACTGTAGTGACCAGTGTCTAGTTCTCAGTGTCTGGTATTTCATTTTTATGTCAAGTGTCTAGTGACTAATGTCTATTGTAAAGTTGTGGAGTATCCATTGCCTACTGCCTTAAGTACATTGTATCCATAAGATATATATTTATAGCTAGCATCCAGTGTCTAGGATGCGGTGTCCTGTGTCTTGTTGCAAATGCTGAGTGTCTCCTAACTAGTGTTATACATCAAATGTCTGTGGTGTCCAGTACCCAGCATCCAATATCCTGGTGTCCAGTGTCTAGTGTGCGGTGTCCAGTGTCTAGTGTCTACTGTATTTTCTGTGAACAAAAGTAAAAATCTCACTTCAGTTTTGATCCTGTCAGATAGTTAGCGATGGCAATTCCTGCTGCACTTCCCCCAC